TACAAGTTGCAGAAGCCTCCTGCTGTGCATGGGATGCACTTGGGATTTGGCAGACAGGCAAGAGCATGCTGCTTCCAGCCAGGTCAGCAAAACCTGCACAGAACTTTGCTCTTTCCCTTGTCTGGCATGTCCTGACTGGCGCACACACTTGGGCACTTTGTAGAAGGTTCTCTATGGAAATATTGTGCAACTTCTTCACAAGATTGCCCCTTCTTTGTCATGGCTGCTCCTCTCCCATGCCAAAGCCCCCACCCATCCCCTAGAACACTCCCTTTCCCTTGCTCCTTCTCTTTGCTGCCCTGGACCAACACTTGCTGTCTGCTGAAATCACCAGGAAAGAAGGCATGTTTGCAGGACAGGTATGCGGTGCAGCGCTGTGTTCCCAGGACCAAGCCCAGTAACGGGAAGTAGCTATTCTCAATGACAGTAAATCAGATTGGCAAGATTAGAGGCCTTTGCTGCCTAATCATGAGCCACTTGGGCAGGAGGACAACTTACTGGAACTGAAAGGAAATAAAAGCAATAAATAAAGCATGACTGTTAACATCTGGCCCTTGCCATGGGGTGCATGGTAGCATGGGTTGTTTATGGTTCATTTACTGACTTTATGGGGCTCCATAGCACAGGGGGCAAGAGCACAGTAACAGCAGAAAATAATCCTTTATGCCAAAGTGCATACGTATGCATGCGCTTGTGTGTGTGTGTGTGCACGTGCGCTTAAAGAGTGCAGACATATGTACAAAGGTCCAGATACACACATGTGAATAGTGTTAGTCCGAAGCTTTGGACAGCTTTCTACAGATACACAGGCAAACCTCGGCAGGCAGGGTAAGATTGCAGGCTGGACTCTTCCAAGCAGCACAAAGAGACAAATAACATTTGTTTGCATTGTGTTGATCTTGTAACAGTTCCAGACACCCTATAGAACTCAAGAAAAAGGCATCAGGGATCAACCACAATAAGGAGGTTTATGGAGAGCTCATAAAACGTATTTTCTGCAGCTGCACTGGGAGCCAAGGTCCACTGTGCTGTGGTTGGGCCAATCTTCTCAGCAGCACAGTTCCCATCTCTGACTTCCTTCCTGGCAGTATCAGGGTGGGTAAGCATTTTAAACATGTACACAAGCACGCATTTTTTGCACAGAATGGGCCAAAATAACCTCTCTCACCCAGAAATTAGGCAAGTCTGTGTATACTTTTCTTCATCTTTTGGCAGGCTGATAGAGCAAGAAGGCTATAGATGGGGAAGTTAGTATTTTCTGAAGGAGACTGGAGCAGACCAAAACCACTGAGCACACTGAAGCCTTTGGCCTACCCAAGTGTAGGCGACCTGGTGTTTCCAGATGTTTTAGATTACAGCTCCCATAAACCCCAACCAACATGGACAATGATCAGAGCTTATTGGAACTGTAGTCCAAAACATCTGAAGGACACCAGTTTGCTTACCCTAGCCTAAACTGGGTTTTTTTTTCCATTGTTATGTTATTCAGTAAAGTGTTACATGAGCTAATGGTGCCCCATTTTTAAATATCATTGTCACTGTACTACTAAAAGCAATAGATCTTCCTAAGAACAAAAGTTGAGCCTGAATGTGCGAGGAACAAAGAGCAGGGGCAGGGGCATATTTCTTCCCAGAAATGAAAATGTTCACAAAGATAAGGGTAACTCCATTTCGTCAAGACTATTGTGCAACGCTTCTTGGAATTTGCTAGGTTCCAGGCATGCCCAGCAAAAATTGAATAAGTTAGCCTGTACATCCAGTACCCAACCCAGGTTTATCCTCTTGTCAGTGATGATGGGCATAACAAGATATAAAGAGTGTTCACTGAGATTAACATATGGGGCAGCTGTGCATTTCCTTCAAGAAAGCTACCTCCCATGAATGTTCTCATGTGGAAGATATGAAGAGTGGAATTAATTAGTTTGTGTGATAAAATCATCTGCATATAGCTGAGCATTTTATTATACTTTAAATTTGATTTATTTCAAATAAGATTTTTGGAAGCTGTAGCAAATCAGAACTGGGAACTAGGGCTTGCATGTTTTGGAGTGCAAACCAAAACAGGCCATAGGATTGCAACAGAAGCCCAATATATACTGGTGGGACACCAGATAAGCCACTGCTGTGATGAATATGCCAGTGGGATGACTAAAATGGGGTAGACTCACAGGATGGAAATGGATAACAACAGGGAAGAAACACATTTACATGAAATCCTGTACCTCTTAATCCACAATGCAATTTTGCACCAATCCTAGGCCTGACACAAGATAATTCCCCCCTTTAAGCTCAGTGGGAAGGGGGAATTAAAATTAATCACTCTAAAATTAACAACCTGCTCCACCCATATCACAAAGGTGCAATGGGTGGGGGGAAGCTTTTAAAGTGATACATAGGAAATTTGAATTTTATTTTATCATAAGCTGGATATACTACTTTATATAAAGCTAGTAAGACAGGCAGAAAGAGACTGAGACCTGGTTCTTTCCACACAATAGCCCATCCATGGGTTACCTTCAAAGAGCTGCAGCACTCTCTATTCCCTGACCAGGGAGTGCCATGGCACAACAATCCACAGCAACCACCAGTCAGGGCTCTTATATTCGTAATGGTGACTGGCACATGCAGCAGCTCCTTGAGTATAAATTAACCCATGATGAAGCTTGCATTGTGTAAACAGCTCCAGGGAGAGGCAGATTACCATTCTGTCTCATACAAGGGAACTGTCTACTTCTGGGGTATCTGGGCAGGAATGAACCAAGAAGACAGAACGATGTATTTCTATTACCTATGCAAGCATTGATACCCCTGTTTTGTCATCTCAAAAGTAGTGGCTTACAAAATATAAAAACAGGCATTAAAATTTAAATCTCGATTACAAGACTAAATGCACTTTCAGAAAATACTAACAGAGAATTAATAAATCAAATTAAGCAACTACACAATTTTTTGTTTAAACAGAAACCCCTTCAGTTACTGGGAAAACATCAGAGGAAGATCACGTAATCTCTTGGGGGCAGGGTGTCCAAATACAAGGAACAAGGAGGTTGTGATTCTTCTTATTCCTTCCCAATTATGAAACTTGAACCAAATGAGGCTATGAGAAACACCACATAAACTGTTTTAAACCCGGCTTGCCAAAGAAGTGGTTGTTTTGAAGCGCTGGGGAGAGTGCCTTACCATTTAACCAGCCATCGTCAGTGCCAGGAGTTGGCACCACTGGGCAGTTGCCAAGATCCCTGCACTTGAGGAGCATCTCTCAGGACCTGAGGAGTGTTCACCAGGGCCAGCTCTTGCTCAGCTCCTGTGAAGGTGCAGCAGTCTCTGTGGCATTTCAGCCTCATTGGGCAGAAAGCCCCAGAGGTCTGTGTTATGCATAGCACAGCGATTGCTACCAACTCTTTCTCAGGGAGTAGGTTGCACAGGGAAGTTCCTGCTGTCTTCCTACCAAAATGGATGGTTGATGAAAGGTGGTGCAAGGAATAAGAGCAGCTGTCCCCAGTCACTTGCCTGCCCTTTCAGTCTGCGGTATTCAGTGGGCTCACCACAGCACCCAGGGGATCAACACAGGTGTGTGTACTAGTGAGCGAGAGAAGAGGATGGTTGCTTCTGCCTTTCTAGACAGCTGAAAGCAGGACTGCCCAAAATGTTAATCACAGAAGGCAACAATTAGCGCTGTCTTGCACACCCTTTCTCTGGGTAGCATGGCAGGGAAGACCGGACCCTGTGGCTCCAGCTGGAGAGGGAAAGCACAAGCATTGAGTCCAGTGCCCAATCCCTTTCTCCAGAGCACCCAAAAAGAAAGTCCAGCCATTACAGTGGGCAAAAGTGGCTCCTTCTTATGCAAAAGGCAGCTGCTTCATTCCCCTTTTGCTCCATTTGTGCATTTGCCAGTCTGTGCTGGCTAGAGGGGGGAGGAGGGAGGGATGTGCTCATTCATTCTGGGATGCTGTGCCCAACCCTCTTCGCCATACCACCCAAAGGCAGTCTTCTGGAGAGGGTGGAAGAGCAGCAGCCATTCGATAACACTGCCCGGCACAGGGGGGCAGGGAGAGGTATTCTTGTGCCCAAGCCCTTTATTTGTGAGCAGTCCAGAAGACAGGAATGGGCAGAGAAGGGTTGTAAAGCGCAGCTGTTGGTGTTCCCATTCCTTATTACTTTGGCCTTCCAGGAAACTCAACTGGCTCGCCCCCTCTCTCTTTGGGTGGCCCAGTGTGGAGGCTTAGGTCCAGCAAGCCTCCCTAAGCAAGAATGCAGGGGAGAAGAAACTATGCAAGCCTCTGCTTGCTCGTCCCCGTCCTTCTCTGGGGAACGTGGCAGGTGGGGCTTGGCTCACCAGTCCCAATCCCTACCGCCTAGGCCAGTCTTCTGCAACCTGGTGTTCTCCATATATGCTGCATTGCAACACCTGGCGTCCAGCAGCCCCCTCTGCGGAAAGTTGAAGCTCAGCGTACAGGACAGCACCAGGCTGGGGAAGGGTGACCTGGACGGAGAGCAGAGGTGAGGGAGAGAATGAGGCTGCCGCATCCGCATCCCGCAGCCCCTTTCGCTGTGCCCAGTCCTCCCTGCTGTGTCGTCCAGTGAGAAGAGAACGCAAGCGAGTGAACAGAGGCGACACACAAAGCTTCCGTTCTTTATCTCGTTAATCCTTACGCACGCCACCCAGAGAAAACAAGAGAGAAAACAAACTTTTATCCTCTTGCAACCAACCCTCTCCCCAGAGATGGAGACATGACGCTGAGGGTTAGGCTGAGAGTGGAGGAAGAGGAGGAACCAGCAAAGGCTTTTAACCCTCACTCCCAAATCCGAGCAGCCCCTGCACGGGCGCCTTTTTCATAAATATAGCTTTTAATTTAAGTGCACACCAAAACTACAATTCCCAAAAGGCTCTGATGCAAGGCGGAGAGATCGCGGTGCGCCGTAGCATGCTGGGAACCGTAGTCTACCGCCCCTTTAGAGAAAGAACGTGGCGATCGATCTGCGTGGGCTCGGTCCAGTCGGAGGCAGGACGTAGCGGGGCTGGGACAAGTGGCGATGTGGCCGCTGCTGGCGCTAAGGAGGATGGTGGGCAAAGACTTCGGGCGCGGTGGTCGTGTCGTCTGCCAGCTCCCTCACGCCCCTCTGTGTGCTTCTAGAGTGTACAGGGCTGAGGCTGCCGCCGCCAGCCATAGTGGAAAAGCTCACGCGACGACCAGCTGCAAGGCTGATGGCCGTGGACTGATCAAAAACTCCAGTCGGCCGAAGCTCTGGTACAGACTGCAAGGGGCTGTCCTTTCTCAGCCTTCATATGGGTGGCAAGGCGTGGGTACTACCACCCCGGATGTCTCTGGGCATGATTGCTACTGCCAGAGATGTAAAGCCAGCTTGGTCCAGTGCAAGCCCTGGTATCCAGTCCAGTGTTGGCACCAGGTTTTTGGTGCCTTTTTGAGTCATCTGTGGCATAAGAAGAAGACTTTGCACAGCAGTGTAGTCCATCCAAGATCAAAATGCCAGCACCTTTGTGCCAAGCCCTGGCAAGCCTTGTTCTTGAGAATGCAATCAGGGAGATACAGCCGTCTTGTTGCCAGCCCACCCTGTCATACCATTTTGCCCTGGTGGTCCTGGCAAGTAGCTTCCCTTGCCCCTACAACCAGGGTTGGCACTCGCAGTTACCAGGCAACAAGTCACCCAGCAGGGATCAAGTGCCACGTAGTGGATCTGCGCAGTGACACGGTGACTCGGCCCAGCCCCAAGATGAGGCAAGCCATGGCTCAGGCAGAGGTGGGTGACGATGACTACGGGGAGGACCCCACAGTCAATGGTGAGTCTGGGAGACAGGATGAGTAGGCCAAGGGCCAACAGCACTCTAGCCCCATCTTGTCCCCAGTCCAGCACTCAAAAGCAGGGCCACTCTGAATATCAGAGACTGTCTATGGGAGCACCTATTCAAGGACTGCATTATAACTGGAAGTGAAGGGCAATTCAGAATAGCTTATAGAAAGGCAGAATATGCATTACTGATGATGGTGGTGGTGGTGATGGTGATTATAGCATGCAGCAGTTCTTTTTATAAAGGAGCAGTGTGCTGGCTGGTTGACCTCTCTGGGAAAGGATTCCCTCAAGATCCAGTGGTGACGCAAACCCTACAACTCCCCCGCCCCCATTTTATGAACTGAAAGTCTGGAACCTAGGGAATTAGTTTCTCTCCATGATTACGTCACTTACATTACTGTTTGAAAGATGGGTAATGTAAATTAAACCCACTGATAAAATGAGGAGAGTAGGCCCTCTGATAGGAGCTAGGCCATTAGTTTAGCCAGAGATTCCTCAGGAAGCTGGAGGAGGAGGAGGCCTTAAAGGCCCAGTACTACTAATTCTATAAACAGGCCCACGTCTGTGATCTTACCACCCTGTACAAACCATCTGAAAACATGGGCTTTCTTTTGCTACCCTGCAGAGCTGCAGAGAGTAGTGGCTGACCTGCTTGGAATGGAGGAGGCTTTGTTTGTCCCCACCGCCACCATGGCCAACCTCATTGCTGGTGAGTCTTGCAAGAAGCAGCCAATGTGGCTGGGCTGCAGCAGAGAGGGAGAACAGTGCCTTAAAATGGGAATGGTGCCCATTCCATATTAATATTCAACTATATTGAGGGTATGCAACCTCAGTGGGCCAAATCTGACCTGCCTTGGGAACCCAGTCTGGCCCTCTACAGCCTGCAAGGGCCTTACACTCTTTCCCTACCAACAATTGTTTGGTTGTTTCCTGGCTTGTGTGTGTTCTTGCTCCTTTTGCAAGGAGCTGAAATGCTACTCCTAAGGTTTCGTTACTGACAGTAAAAGCTGTAAACTACAATATGCTGGTATTTTTGGTGCTTTGGTTTCAGCTACCCCTGGATTGCCCCGCCCCCCCACTCCCTGAGAGTTTCTCCAGAATTGAATTCAGCCTTCAGGGTGAAAGTGGTGCATCACCCCTGAGGTGTACTGGGCCATCTGTGCACATGGCACTGCATAATTACAAATGCACAGGTCTGTCACAAGGCACTTACTCCCGTCTTAGAATCACCAGGCAAAGCACTTTGGTAATGGGACAGTCTACAAAAGTTCTAACTAAATAAAGAATAAATTTGCCAGTAGTATGAGAGCTCTTAGCTGCTTCTAAAAGATACTGGCAAGACTACAATAAGCAGGACCGGATGTTCCAGTGCAGGCATTGTCCAATAGTGACGAAAGTGGTGGCCTCCAGGGAGCAACCGTGTGCTGAGGAGAGGATCACAACAGGGTCATATTCATGTTGTATTTCCCCTGCTCTCTGCCCCTTGCCCCTTCTCCACCCCCTCTAAAGACTCGCCCATTCTCATAGCTGTCCTCTTCCTCTTCTTTTTCCACAGTCATGTGCCACTGTCAGAGGCGAGGTGCGCAGGTCTTGCTGGGGAGAGAGGCCCACATTCATGTTTTTGAGCATGGAGGGGTAGCACAAGTAAGTGGTGCTGGAAGAGACACAGCAGCGCTAGCCATCTCATTTCTTGGTTCTGCCTTCTCTTGGCACACAAACCTGGTATATCCTGGGTGTGTTTTTGCAGCTGGAACATAATCAGGTCCAAGACTGGCTAATGTGGGAAGTAATTCTTGTACAGAACTCATTAAAAGCGCATTTGAACTTCGCTCTTGCTTTATATATGTCACATATAAAAATGCCCCTAATGCAGGAGAGAATTCAAAAGAACAATGAACATATATCCCGGTCAATGAAAATTTTATATCCAGATTAGGAATGCATGTATACATTCAATGATAAGACTGCCTAAATGCTTGGACAGTGAATATAATTTATTTGTTGTTAGATGTATTTTATTTATTAGGTTTATATCCCGCTTTTTTCTTACCAAGTGGCTTACATCAGTCTCCTGCTCTCCATCTTATTCCCACAACAACCCTGTGAGGTAGGTTGGGCTGAGAGTCTGTGGCTGGCCCAAAGCCACCCAGTTGGCTGAATGCGGACTAGAACCCAGGTTGCTTGAGTCGCAGTCTCACGCTCGTAACTATTACACCTCAGTGGCTTTCCATGGTATCTCTTTTTTGACCTCGAGCTTAGGCCTGAGTGTCCCTGAGAGAGAGAGAGACAGGGAGAGATCTGGACTGACTGGAATGATTCAGGAGAATCTAAAAGCTAGTACTGATGATTATGTCAGGTCTAAAATCTTTTGCCCAACTAGCACTTGGAAAAGTTGCTGAATGAGGAACCAAATTAAGTTCTCTCAAGAGGCATATTTGGAGTGGGTTATGGTAAAGACCATGTACTACTGGCAGCTGCCAAAACAAATGATGTCACAGTTTTGCAAAGGGTCTTAAGGCAACCTGGTTTTCTAAGGCTTTCTCTAAATTTAGATTGGAGTGAGCTGGGAAAGAAACCTGGTATTGTGGGGCCCTCTAGTGGCTCTAAATTCAACCCTCATTCTCTTGTCCTTGCATGAGCATTTATACATCCAAAGCCAAACTAACAGCTTCTCAACACCTGAGAAAATGGGTCCATTGATGATAAAACCAGCAAGGGAATTTTTGGTTTTGGAAGTTCAGGTCCCATCATTGGCACTACAGCCATGGGTCACAGCTCACAGAGGGAAGTCACACACTTGCCCATGGCCCTGCATACAGAACCTCATTTTCCTCAGATGTGCAGTAACACTGAAAACCAAATGTTGCATTTAATACCAGTAGAAGCAAAGTATTCTGCCAACATGAGTAGTTTATCATCCACCCATTTTGTTCTGAAAAGGTGGCTGGAGTCCATTCAGAGACCTTGCAAGACCTGCCTGATGGGACCATGAGTCTGGAAGAACTGGAGAATAAGATCCATCAGGCCCACAGAAGTCAGTACCACCCACGCCCAGAGCTCATCTGCCTTGAGAATACGCACTGCTCAGCCGGGGGACGGGTACTCCCCCTTCACTACCTGAAGGAAGTGAGCATCATCAGCCAGTCCCCACCCAACCAACTCTTTTGGAAGATTCATCGCATTTCCTAGCTAGATGAGTATCTTTGTCACTGGGGCAATTCAGAGAAGCAGTAGCAGCAGGTGTGAACTGAAACAAAATATTGCAAAATATTCTTATCCCCTGCAGGGTATATTTATGTACAGTGAAAAGAGAGGGTACTTCCCCACCAACCACAATTCTACCTCCAAGAAGCCAGGAGTCGGCAAATTTGGGTAGTCCAGAAACTCTGGGCTGCTTTCCTGCTACTGCACCATGGCAAAAATATGGTTGTTTGCCCCTGAAATTCAGCAGCAAAGTGCCATGGAGACTCAGAAAGACCAGATTTAACTTGAAAGTGGGATTTTATAGTATTGTTTTTATGTACTGTTGTAGCCTACTCAGTTTTGACTATGGGGAGGTATAGAAATGAATACGGCAACGATATGGAGTCTCTGCAGCAATTTGCTGCTGAATTGGTACCTATTCTTTGGCCTCTGCACCAGAAAATTTTAGTAGTGTGGGTGATGGCAGGAGTGTCGGGGGCCACACTCGAGGTCATGAGGCTACATGTTGCCCCTGCCTGCCATATCATTATCATTGCATTGCATTAATATAGGCTGTTGAGGGATTTGTTCTCTTTTCCATGCAACTGACTTTAATATTATTTGATAGTCTCTGAAATCTTGTCAGGCTATTTTATGTGGTTCATGGAGCAACAGCATAATTTTGTTTCATTTCATGTACAAATTTATACTCGTGTATTCTGAAGATGTCCCCAAATGTGTAATCACTTTATTTTTGTGAGCTGCTCTTCTGCTTCCAAACTGACAGGCACTCAGCCAAATATGTTTGCATGGGCATTGAGCAACCCAAAAAGCAATTATAAAAATAAACAAAAGATCCTCTAGGTGGGCTCAATATTATTAAGCAGCTTTCTGGCTGGACCTATTGTCTGCTTTTTTAATTAAAGCCTGCCTCCCAGCTGCAAGCCAAATTGCTTTTAACTTTCTTTAGAACTTGTGCCGCCCTTTGCTACCTAGCATTAGAATGATCGTAAGAAAAGCCAGGAGGCCTTGAGTAACATGCTTTGCAACTCTTGTAAGGTGCTGAGTGAGTTCCATTCTCTACACAGGTGCGGCACCTCGCGCAGCAATATGGGTTGCGGATACACATGGATGGTGCTCGAATGCTTAACGCCGCAGTGGCTCTGGGAGTACGGCCAGCTCAGATCTCCCAGCACTGTGATTCCATCTCCTTGTGCTTCTCTAAGGTGGGGAAAGGCAATACTGGGATTCTCAGAATGGTGGGTTGCAGAAATAGTATGAGCATAGCGCCCATGAAGCTTGCGGAGCTATAATCTGTGTCAATACGCGGGCTGCTTTTGCCAGACATACGCAGAAGTGGGAGCTTTGCCAGGCTCCTCTTAATGGAGCTGAGGGCTCCTGCAGTTGCTTACAGAGCAGCTTCTCAGCATGATAGGCCAGGGGTGCAGAACCCCAGGCCTCATGTCCCAGCCCACCTTTCAGCAATTCCACCGATGGCCATGACCCCTTCCTCTGGCTGCACCTCATTTTTCCAAGCCACTAGGCCTTTGGTGGTTTCATGGCTTTTGTGCAGTTTTCTCGAAGACTTTATTACTGGTAGTAAGAGCTTTAAGCTGTAATATGATGGTGTCCTTAATAACTTTGGCCTTGTCCCTTTTGGCGTCAGTCCATCCCAACACTGGAATGTAGGGTTTCTCCTAAGCAGAATTCAGCCCTTGGGCTGAAAAAGATTCTTCATCCCTACCATAGGCAGTGGGGAGGGGGGGATGAGGAGGCTGGGGTGAGGGTTCTCTAGTGCCTGCCTGTGTGGCCCCAGTTTCTCATCTGCATTTCGTTCCACAGGGTGTGGGTGCACCAGCCGGGGCAATCCTGGCCGGAGGCAAAGAGCTGGTGACTGAAGCCTGGCGTGTGCGGAAGCTCCTTGGAGGAGGGATGCGTCAGGCAGGGATTCTGGGCGCAGCTGCCCTGGTTGGATTGAGCCATGTGGAGGAAACACTAAAAAGGGATCACAGCAATGCCAGGCGCTTTGCTCAAGGTGCCTGTTCTGGGTGAAGATGGGGGAATGTATTTCAACCACTCCTTCATAGACAAAGTGTACTGCCTTAATCAAAGGTAGACTCCTTGTGCTGGATTGGGGTCCCCTTACAATCTGCGGACCATTTTTGCTCCCCACCCGCAGGAAAAACCCTCCCAATCTCCCCACTTGTCCTGTGATGGAACACTATCATGTTTCTGGTGGTGGGGAGATTGTGCTTGCCCTTTCCAACCCCAAGCATTTTCACTTTCAGGTGCCTGCACTTTTGGTTCTCCCCTCTGTTCCATAAACCCATCCGCTGTGGAGACCAACATTGTCCTGGCGACAGTAGCGCCCTGCCTGGCGCCTGCCAAGTTGTGTGAGCTCCTGGAGGCCGTGAGTGCAGAGGAGGTTGCTGCCACTGGGCAGGCAGTCAGTGTGCGGCTCTTCCCATGGGGCAAGCAGAGCCTACGTGCCGTCTGGCACCGTGATGTCTCCGCTCTCGACACACAACTGGCTGAGAACAAGTTGCGATTCGTCCTAGACAAGTGTCAGCAGCATCGCACCAGCGTACCCTGAAGCCAGACAGCAGGCCAAAAGCTAAGCTGGCGTTTGGTGTGTGTCACCGTAGAGTAAGCCCAGGATATAAATCTGTGATGGGTTGGTACAGCCTATTGCAAGTGGAGAGTAAAGCCCACCCATGGGAGAGGTGAGCAGTTTGCAGTGCTAGAGGGACTAGAATTGTAGCAGCACTCCAGACGCCGTGCAGGCTGTAGCCATGCAGGAAGAGAGTGGCTGTACTCTTTGGAGCTCCTTAGCCTCTTCTGGATACACTCACTCCTCACACACATATACGTAATTGCTTCTGAGATTTTGATATTGGATCTACTTTCCCTGAAATGTTCTTTAAACAATGTCTTTTTGCCGTGGGAACTTGAGAGGTTTTATTGTACTGATAACTGTAAAGTAGTCAAAGTCTATTTACTTCATTCACTGTAATTCTCTCTCACGCCAACTTTGTGGGAATGATTTGGGTCACCTGGTAAGGCACATTAAGCAGGCTAGAGCAGAAAGTGGAACGAAAAGAACACCCATGGACAAACCCAGGTGTGCAAGTGGCAATTAAGTCTTTAACAACTCAGGCTTGATAATCTACTGGTTCCTAAAGAAAGTGCAATCATTTGAACTTTACTTGTAGCATTCCCACAGTGAATAGAATCTCAGAGTTGGATTTGGAGAAATGTCCTAGTGCAGAGACTATGTTACCTGCCGTATCTAAGCTGGACTCCTGCTCAAATGTTTTAGTTCCTGGAGTGAGAGTTTGCAGGAGAATTTAGCATCCTCAGATACAGAAAAGACTTCACCAAATGGCAAGATTGTTTTTCTTGCAGCTCACTGTGAACTGTTCAGACAGTCATATCAGTCTTGGGATATTTTGCCGAAACTACCAAACAAATCATAGAATCATGGAATAGCAAAGTTAGAAGGGGCCAAGGAGGCCAGCAAGTCTAACCTGTTGCTCTTGCAGGACACAAATTTACACCATGCCACAGATGGCTGTCCAGTCTCTTTTAGAATGTCTCTAGTGTGGGAGAGCCCACAGCCTCTCCAGGCAACTGGTTCCACAGTCATATTGCTCTAACAGTTAGGAATTTTTTCCTTATATCTAGCATGAATCTGCTTTGTTGCAATCTGAGCTGATTATTCCATGTCCCACACTCTGGTATCAGCAGGAAAAGATCTTGCACTTCCTCTTTGTGTCAGCCTTTCAGGAACTTATGAAGTGCTATCATGTCTACCCTTGGTTGTCTCTTCTCAAGGCTGAACATGCCCAGTTCTCTCCGTTCTCAATAAATCCATGTTTGCTTTTATTAATCACTGTATTTTCTTTGAGGTGCTTGCAGACTGATTTTTAAATAATTTACTCCAGAATTTTTCTCAGGATTGATGACAGACTAACTGGTCTGTAGTTCCCAGGTTCATCTTTTTTCCCTTTTTGGAAGATGGGGAAAACTTAGCCCTTCTCCAGGCAGCTGGCACTTCTCCTGTTTTCCAGGATTTATCAAACATATTAGACAGTAGTTCTGAGACTTCCTTTGCTAGCTGTTTTATGACTCTGGGATGGAATTTATTGGGCCCTGGAGATCTGAACATGTTTATTCCATTTAGATATTCCTTAACCTCGAGCGAAATACATTCACTCAACCCTCCTTTATGATATTTACCAGAAGTATTTGGAAAACGGTGAAGGTTCAGGGGGAAAAAAAATGCTTTTTTTTGTTATGGGGGGGGGGGGTGGGGGATACAAAAGCCAAATGGGCTAAGTCAGTGAATAGCAAGCAAGTTAATATGCCAAATGCTAGCAAGAATGTACAAAGGGAATTATTTTTCTAATCTGCAAATTAATCATGTCACTTTGTAATCAAGTCCCTTTGCAAATTACCTCCAAGCGGGCTAGTGAGGGCCAAGAAGAACTGTGACTCTCTCCCTGGACCAACTTCTATAAGTCTAATCCCACTGCAGCCTGAAGATGTGAACAAGACCTTTGTGTCTGTGCAGCCCCCCAAATGCTCTCTTGCGCCTTGCCCTGCTTGGCCCACTTGAGCTGGCCATGGTGGGACTGACCCGATGAGTCAGGGGAGCGGTGGATTCACTGTTTGAGGATGAACTCTCTGCTGCTTTGAAGGAGGCAGTGGAGCAGTCACTCCTGGAAGAACTAGCCTTGGATCCAGAGATCTATGCCAACTATTGTCCGGTCACAAACAGCCTGTTCCTGTAAAGTGCTCAAGAGAGTAGTGGCATCTCAGCTGCAGGCACTACTGAACGGCAGTGATTATCTGGATCCCTTCCAGTCTGAATTCCAGCCTTGTCTGGGGGCAGAATCAGCCTGATAGATGACCTTTGGGAGAGCAGGGGACTGGGATCCGGTTAATTCTTATGGATTGCTTAGTGGCTTTTAATAACATTGACCTCAGCATTCTTCCAAACTGCCTTTGCGAGATGGGAATTGAAGGCACTGTTCTGCAATGGTTCAATTCATATTCAGGGAGGGTTTCCAGAGAATAGCATTGGGTGCCTGCACTTAACCCCCTGGCAGCTGAACTGTGGGGTGCCACAAGGCACCATCTCATCCCCAATGCTATTTTTTGTCTCGATGAAGCTGCCAGGGACAGTCACCAGGAGATTTCCAAATATTGCCTGTAAGGGTGTTTTGTGATATAGCACCCCATCTGCTACATATTAGAAAGATTAAGTTTGAATTACCTTGTCCATCTCAGAGCCATTCAACACCTGCTGCCCTGGCAGCTGAAGTATCTTCCTTATCTCACTCTTCTCCTAAGCAAACACCCTGTAAGTTAGCCTCTGTGATGGTCCAAAGTGAGATTTTAGATGACTTAATGGAAGTGCAAATGATTCACTCATTTAAATCCCTCCCTAAGAAAGAACAAGGAAAGACAATCATAAGGCTAGACACTCTTAAAATATTCTGGCTTCTACTTGTTTTGTGGCAAAACCATTCATAATGAGAAAATGCAGGGGGGAAATCCCAAAACTGATGGTGCTTCAGATGTATTATTGCTGACAAATGAGGGAGAGAAATCAGCTGAGGTTTCTGCACAGTGTACTGTTTCTAGCCTCAATAATTGCTGTAGACATACTTCATGGGTAAGATTGTGTGAGTGAAGTTGCAACTGAATGTACCTACGCAGATGAGAAGCATTGTGAGATTCATTAAATAGTCACTAATGTCCGCCAACTCTTCACTGCATTCTGCTGCTGATGGAACAGACAGAAGTGATACATCTTCTCTCAGGGAGGCTTAGTTGACTCAGCCAGCCCCATTGAGCAAGGAGGACATAATTTAGTTTCCGGTCTCTAACCAGCCTCTTTGGTGAGCTTAACATCATTTACTCTGGAGTCAAAGGCTAATTTAGTAATAAAAGTCACAACACCTAATTAATAGACCCCAAAACACTGGCATTTGAGACAAGAAGTGGATCCCTGCAATTAAAAAGAGGAGCACCATGTTTCTGGGGAATCACCAAAATAACCCTTTATTGGATGAAAATGAAAGGAAAAGTGGCTTTTGGCCAAACTAAATATTAACTACCTTTGGATTGACAATACCTGTATCAGCCAAACTCTCAGATTACTTTATTTCAGTTGAATATTGCAGGATGGCTGAGTAAACACCCCGATGCCCAGTTTATTTACATTGCTAAATTTGTCACTTCATTAGTACCATAGCTGTGAGTTCAGGAGGAGCCAAAACACACATCTGCTTACTGGAGCTGTTTATTTCAAAGAAAGGAGGATCCAGATGCATCAAGGACGGGCAGAAAGCCATGCTTTGTGGAAGAGGAGCTGGACATCTCAAAGCTTCGGGTGAAGAGGTCATGGCTGCCACAGTTCCAGGGTATTTGTTGTCTTTCTCTGCCTTCCATGAACATCACGAGTTGAGTCACAGAACTCTTAGTCTGCCCACCCAGCACCGTAGGGCCAGTAAGCAGAGATGGAAACAGCTGTGCCTGATGGGTAAGGCTTCCTTGTACCTTCTGCCCCATTAGCTTAGCACATCCACAGGGAGAGCCATCCTCTCTGAGATCATGACCCTGTCCCTGCAAACCCTGTGGTTCATGTAAGGATGTTATAGCTGCAGAACAGTAGAGAACACTGTCAGAATTAGGAAGGGACCACGCACGGCAGGATTTCGTCACATATCCCTGCCAACGCTGCACTCCCCCTTCCCATCCTCTCCCAGGATCAGATAACCACTGAGCACACATCTGGCTTCAGGTGAAGCCCCCAAGCAGCCAGGAGGAGCAGGATGCCAGCCAGCCCCTCGGTGCCAAAAGAGAGCCAGGCGAGTGCCAGGGACCAGCCAAAAGCAACGTGGACGTGCTCAAAGTGCAGCTGGCCAAACAGGCGCACGGTCCCAATGAAAGCTGCCCTGGAGTAGCTGATGTAGATGCTGGTCCCTGACAGGGTCAGCAGTGCTGGTGGGGAGAAGAGGGGAGAGAAGGGTCAGCAAAGTGGAGTCGGGTACCAGGCACTGCCTCCAAATATGCCTCCCCTCCTTCTATTAGGGACTGGGTGAGCTCATTGGAGCATCCCTTGTCAGAGGCAATGAGGACAAACAACAAGACCTCACAAGTATCATGTCCTGCTTGTGAGTCTCCAGAGGCGGCTCGCCTGGCCACCTCATGTGCTGCTGAACACAGCCCCCCAGACCAATGGACCTTCCACTTGATCCAGAGAGGCGAATGCTGAGAAGCGGGCAGCTTCCTAAGGACTGGTTGTGCTTCAGTTGCCTGGGGAGTCCTTTCCATCAGGGCCTTCCCTTCCATGAAGCAAGGTGAATGCCCTCACCTCAGGCAGCAGATCCTGTAGGGCCGAAGATCCCGCTGCTAACATACCTGCAGGTCTCATGCGGTGCTTCAGAAAGCTACAGTGGTCCCTGCTCTGCGCCACACACCTGATGCCTCACTCTGAGGGCCCCTTAGAGCAAGGCGTCTGGTGTAGACTCCGGGAAGCCCCTCCATCTGCTCAGGAGAGCAGCCGGCACCACTTTCCAGAGCCCCTGGCCCACACGCCTTGTGAGGGCGCTGTCTTGAAAGCGAGGCACTGGCCCTGAGGTGGCCCAGGCAGTCTGCAAGGCCGCCTCCCCAGTCATGCCATCGCTGCCGTCGTCATGGGGGGATGGGCAGCAGCCAGAAGGTGGGAGATGCAGAGTGGCTGGCTACCAGTGCTGTTGCGGTCATGGGAGGGGGGCAGGTGGGCACTCAGCCTGCCCTCCCACCACTGTGCTGGGAGTGGAGGGGGAGAGGAGGGGCAGCGGGCACCCTACCACCTCAGGCAAGGCGAGTCCTTGCACCAACTCTGCTCTCCATTCGGCCTCCTGGTGAGAGTTCCTCTGAGGCAAAGCCATCAGCACCTGCTCCCTCCCCACATGGCAAAGTGGCAAAGAAAAAAGCCTGGCAGGATATGGCCGTGGCTTGGGCACCGCAAAGGAAGTGGTTCAAGATCCTGTTCAGAGCCTAGGGACGCCTTCCCCAAACTGGTGCCCACAAGATGGGCTGCATTACAACTCCCATCACCTGCAGCCACTGGCCGTGATGGGAGGGTCCAGCCTAGTGAATCTCTTGGCCGCTGTGCTGTGTTTCTAACATGATCAATCATCTTCGGAGTAAATACACATTTCCTGCCTCCATCACTGCTGTGAGAAGAACATACTGCCTCAATGAGTCCTAGCTCTGCCTGCAGCAACTCGAGCTCGTTCTTCTGAGAACAGAGAACTGCTGTGTGGCTTAAGGCTGCAAAGAATCTGATAAGCTGTTCTTTGGCATGGGGCAGAATGGGCAGCCTGTGCCCATTCTCGAGAGCCTAGAACAATTGCTAAAAAGACAACCAGCTCGGGTTGCTCAGGTCTGAGGTAATGCAGCACCAAAATCTGAAGTGAAAAACAACAAGACATGAGCGTTTATATCCATGCAGGGATGTTGTGGGAAGTGGAACATCCTGATTGCACACATGAAGATGTTCAAGTCCTAAGCATCTCTTAATCTTTCTCTTTTAAGGACCAATAGCATATTAACTAGCAGTTAAATTTTATAACTTTTATAACTTTTCCATAGTGTACTATAATTCTTTTATGCTGCAGACTATGTTACATAAAACCTTCAAGCTACATATTTTATGTGACTAAAGCCTTGTCTTAAAAGGTATTTTGCTAATTTCAAGAGAAAATATTTCATCGGTTTTTCCATTGTCCCTGCACATGTCTATTGAAAAGAAAATTCTTGGGGCAAAAACTGGGAAGGACAGTTTCTTCTGTTTGTTTGTTTTTTTCAGGCCTTCATATTCTTACCTGCAGTCAGATTTGAATAAGTGGTTTAGAGGATGGCAAACAGAAATTAGTTTTTGTATCACCAACAAGCCTGATGCCGCCCAAAGGGAAGGAGGGACTATAAGGAGCCCAGCCACAGTAGGTGAGGAGAATTCCTTGCATCAACAGGTCAAAGTGGATCAGCTACTGATAATTATCTACCCCATTAAACAGGGGTAGGAAACCTCAGACTTGGGGGCAAATCCTGCTGTCCCCCAGTCCCTGCAGGCCATTCCCCCAGGTCCACACTCTTTTCCCTGATCGCCAATGGCTGGGAGGCTTCCCAGCTTTTGTGCAGGTTTCCCTTATTCTAGTCTAAGCAGCTGAAATGCCTCTCGTTGGGCTTCATTGCTCACAACAAGAACTTCAAGCTGACATTTTGGAGATCTGGGTGTCACTATTCCATTTGCCCTCATCCTCATCCAGTCCCCAAGAGCCTCTCCAAAACAGAGCTTAGGCCTCAGGCTGAAAAATGTTCTCCACCCCTGCCATGCTGATGCACAGTCCAGGTCCCCTTGCTGCCCTGAGCCATGAAGACAGCTGATCTTGCTCTCTGGGAAGAAGGAGGAGGAGGAGGAGGAGGAGGAGGAGGAGGAGGAGGAGGAGGAGGCAGCAGCGGCAAGATTTGGGAATGGGAGAAAGTGCCTTTCCCATGGCAACAAGGCCCTGGCCACTGCACAAATAGCCACCGACAGGATCCTTCAGACTTGCTTCGTTCTGGCCAGAAGCACAGATGCAGTCCAATACTTCCCAGCTGTTCAGTGGCATTTTCCCATGTGGGGCATACTCAGGGAAGAAGACTCGGTTCCCTCCAATCAAGACCCTCCCAGCCATAGGTTTGCTTACCGCCCAACAGAAAATAACAGCCTGTGAACAGGAGAACCCAGGAGCTGCGAGCCAAGGAACCGATGATCCCGCAGATCCAGCCAAAAACCATCAAGGTGAGACTGAGGGGCAGTAGGACCACAAAGGCTCGGTGCATGCCTGGCAGAGGCAGAAAAGGAGAGCATGAAATGGAAAGAGGCAGGATCTTGGGCATGTTTTGGAGGGTTGACCTTTGAAGCGCATTTAACCCATGAGTTTTAAAAACTTGACATTTCCTGTGTGGGACAAACCAGGCTTTCACCTGCCCTCTCCCAACCCCAGATAGAGAATAAGTGTCCATCCTCAAGCATATTTGAGTTTACAGACAGTACAGCCAACCCCTACCCCAATCTCTCCTTATTTAGACCCAACATATAGGACATACTTCTGAACTCACCCACTTTCCTGGGTGCCAACCCCCCCACCCCAGGTCCTCTACTCACAGATAAGATGCTGCAGGGATGTTGGAACTTGCCAACTTTGTGGGCCAAATGGGTCAATCAAGGGCACACAGGCATTCTGCCCTAGGGAAAGAAGAGAAAGAGACAAAACCAGAAGGGAAGATGCAAGGCACTCCACAGTGCTGGAATACTTACTTCCAGGGTCATTGCTAGGACTGTTCTCCAGAGCCCCAAACCTCTTCCCAGAGCCTCACTGAGAATGGAAAGGTTTTTTTCCTTCAAGCTAATTGTCATACAGGGGTAATTTTCAGTTGGGATCCCTCCCATTGTTGCTACACCATACAGATGTCTCCTGCAAATTAGTTTGGCTTGCAAAAAAAAGTCTTCCGTTAGTTCTAATGGAAATTTTTCTTTCTTAAGTTCATGTGGATGTGGAGTTTGTGAAAGAGTTCACTACAAAACTTACCAGCCACTCTCTGTTCACAATCAATGACAAATTCTGCTAGAAGAGGAGCTGATTTAGGATGATTTGGGGACAGGGTTTAAAATAATGCACTCTATCTAGTGATTTGAATGAGTAGCTCATTGATTGGCTTTGTTTTTTTTCTGAAATGTGAATGAACCCTACTAATTATTATACTTTGCACTTATAAACATGCATATGTACATTTTATGCAGATGGGTGTCCTATGGCCTGGATCCTGAATTGTTTACATGCCCAGCAATGCCCCCTCTTTCATTCTCCTCTCCTGCAGCAGTGCTAACCAAAATGGGATATTCTGTAGCTTGGATAGGAACACCTGCCTAGGATCAGAGAGGTGAAGTTAACTGGACTGAAAGAGACAGAATGTGCAGCTATACTATGAGCACTAAGTTCTTTTGTTAGGGTGGTACCTAAATCAGCTTCCCCCAACTTAGTGCCTTCCAAATGCTTTGGACTCCAACACCCATCAACCCTAACCAACATGAACACCAGCTAGGAAGGCTGTAATTTTCATGCAAAGCATCTGGAGGAGTTGCCTTGCTAATTAGATGGCTGGGGGTGCATTCTAGGACTGTATGGGTGGACAAATGGATGCCTGATTCCCCTGTTTCTCAAAGTGGCTTGCTGGCATGCCTCACTCTCCTTTCTGCTCACAATATCAATATTTCACACATCCAGGGGATCTGTTACTGACATGGAGAAGGAATTTCTGTAGGCAAAAAGTAGGCCAGGTGTGCACTACTTGTGGGGAAGGGGAAATCTGGCCACTTGGCTGCCAATAGCTAACATATGGCATCTCTGAGAGCGTTGGATTGGCCCTTTCTTCCTAGCTATGGAAAATGGCCTCTGGTGCCCCAAGGGTCTCAGGATCAACAGTGTGAGAAAATGTGGCATCTCCGGCACTGTGTGTGTGAATTCTAACTTCAACTGTACACAAGAAGCCACACAGCTCAGAGGACAGAGCTCTGCCTCTGCACACCTCAGTCCCCATGATCCAGCACAGGCCACTTCCACATAAGCCCAGCCCTACAGCCAGGGACGGCAAAATACATGCTGGTTATCAAAAGTGGATTAGCAAGCATGGTCAATACCTCCTTTGAAATCAGACTCCTCAGACATCTTCATCTGATCCCCGCTTGGTTGACTCTTCTGACCAGATCTTTGCCGAAGAAACAGCGGGCACCTCACTTCACACCTCTTTTATTCCCCCTTGCATCACCAAGTCATGCCATTTGCTCTCCGATGTCCAACTTTCTCAGGCAGAATCTGATTTTCTCATGGACACTTCCAACTCTTCCTCTATTCTGATTGTCTCACTATCAGCATAGCCTAGTCTTTCTAGACATTGCATACTGGAAAGCTATGCTACAGATGTCTTGAAGCCACTGGGGTTCAAGCATTCCTGGTATAAATGGAATCCACTTACATTTTCTAAAGTGTGGCAAGCAGTATATACATCTGTCAAATAAATAGCAAAAATAATCCTTTACCAGAGACAATGGGTGGAAATGGTGTCATTTTTCAAGAATCATTTTAAGGACTCCTAGAGCTGGAGGCACAGAATGAGAGTTGGGGATTAGCTTTGGAAGAGGGTATGAAGAGTGGATGGGTTGAATTATGTAGCTGGTGAAGTACAGTCAAAAGGTCCTGGGGACACATGACACACACAGAAGGCAACACGAGGGAGGGGGTGGAGATGGGCACTGTCATCCTGACCGACACACAGAATTCCTGTAGGTCTTAGGTCGGGACGGGGGTGAGGGGGCTGCGGTGGATCTTCCCTGCCGCTAAACCAAGCAGAAGCAGAGGCCGGTGCGGGAGCCGCTGCCCGTGGTGGGAAGCGCTCCCGCTGCCCCCGCGCCCGCCAGGGGATGCGTGGGACGGGATGCCACTGGGAGACACCGAGAAAGAAGCGAGAGGGAGCCAGCGGCTCTGCACCTCGCGACGCCCTACCTTCGCAGAGACGCCAGAGCCCGGAGTGCGAACTCAGCTGCTCTGCCTCCCAAGCGCTGCGGTTGGGCCTCCCAGCCAAGTCCACACGCACCAAGTACCAGTAGTCGGTGCCGATGGCCGCGGTCAAGAGGCCGAAGCTGACGATCCCGCAGAGCGCCGCGCCGAGGCAGAGCGCGCCGGGAGGGCCCGCTCCCCCTCGCTTTGGCCCCATGATCCCGCCTCCGCACTCACGGCCACCTATGCCGCCGGGAAGCAGCCAAGCTGAGGCGCTCCCTTTCGCAGCGCAGCGCAGCGCAGCCCCCGCCCACTCGGCGGGAATGCTGGGGAAGGAGGGTGTGCGGTAAGGGGGCAACTACGGAGCGCCCCCATCCCCGGGTCGCCTTCTAGAAGGATGTGCTGCCAGCCTGGAGGATGGTGAGCCCCGGGGCGGGCAGTGTGGAAAGACCCGTGCCGCTCCAAGTAGGGATCGAGCGCAAAAAGCCAGCCGGAAAGACCACCCCAGCTGCACCCAGAGAAATAAAAGCAAAAACAAATTGGCAGGTCTCGAGACCTCCGGATGTCTTTCTCGGGCGAGAGGTTTAAACTTGCACATTATTTTCCTTAGAGAACCTTTGCTCCCCTAATAAAGGAATTGCATCAAAGTACTGGAATTTTGCAGGTACCCAACACGTAAGAAAAGCCATTCTGGAGCAGACCAAAAGTCTATCTAGCCTGGCACTCCCTACACACAATGGCACAGCAGCTGCCCACAGGAGCCCTCGAGCAGGATGAGTCCAGGACCTCCACCTGCCCGAGCGCCTCGGCAACTGGTGTGTGCAGGCACGCCGCCTCTGGTCAAGGGGGTAGCGCACAGCCAGCAAGGCGAGTAGCCACTGAGAGCCTCCTCCCTCGTGCATTTGTCCAATCTGCTTTCAAAGCCACCCTTTAAATCTCTCCATCTCCACTTTCTTCACACAATCATTATTTTACACACCTCTATTATGTCTCCCCTTACTCACCCTTTTTCTAAGCTAAGCATTCCCAGTTGTAGCCAGTTCTCAGGGGAGTTGCTCCAGCTCCCTGATCACTTTTGTTGCCTTTATCTATACTTTTCCCCACTCAGTAATGTCCTTTTTCAGGTGAGGTGATCAGCAATGAATATTCTAAGTGTGGCTGTACCAAAGATTTGTATAAGGGGAGCAAGATCTTGGTGTGACCACCTCTGCTTTATCCCCAAGGAAATAAAATCCCTTGTAATCTGTTCTTATTCAAATTTACCCACATGAAAGTGCTGCTGAACTCAGTGGTTTTTTTCCTCTCTATGTATAGCTACCCAGATTGCCAAGTTGCTTTCCTCCCTCTTACCTGCCCACCTCTGCACAGGTAGAAACCTAAGAAAAATTCTCAGTCATTGACCCATGAGTGGTGGGGTGTGGGGGCAAAATTCCGTGAGCAGACCATCTCAACCTCTGCCTTTCTTTGAACACATGGGCTCCCACAGCAATTTGGTCCTTGGCCAGCCCCATATGCCACTACCCCTGCTTAAATCTTTCTGCCTGAAATTTATTTCTGGTCCAAAATCATCCTCTCTCCTGCCTATGCTCTGTTTTTACAACAGAGGTGCCTATAGGAGACAGAGTCTTTTTAGGAGACGCATACAGTATATAGTATTTGTAAATCAGCAAATGCAAATTTGCACTTTTGATTTTTGGTCCGGTGAGCCTGGGCCATGGATCTTTGCGGTACTTAGCACTGCCCATGATCACTATCCTTCCTGTTGACTAAGCACAATGCCTTGGTTTTTTCTTGACTCCTCTCCATTAACCTTCCAAATTCAGTCTCTTACCAAAGCTTGTTGGTTCTCCTTACAGCACTCAGCTTGCTCTCACCATGCAACTCTATTATTATTATTATTATTATTATTATTATTATTATTATTATTATTA